CCTTCAAATCTGAGCACATTTGAGGACTGATGTGCTCATATTGTGCCGACCTGGATGACCCAGGATGATCTCTCTATCTTAAGGTCTGTAACCTTACTGCCATCTCCAAATTTCCAGTGTGTAACATATTTGAAGATTCTGGGGATTGGAGCATGGACATCTTTGGAAAGCTATTATTCCATTTACCATGGCTAGAGAGTATGAGATTCTCTCAGCACCCTCATTCTCCTGTAGATTTAAGATACTGTTGCAGCTTTCTTCCTAATTTACAATTGGAATAACCCAGGGAAAAGTTAACTCTGGATACATACATATTACCCAGACCAGTCAGGAACCCTGCCCTGTTGTAACTCTCTGGAAAAATGTAGCATCTTTGCTCAGTCCTCATATATGGTGTGTGTGGTGTACCAACCCCCAAAAGACACCTAATGGATGTTTCTAGGCCTTAGTTTCAAACCAAATTTGGTGAGTGCACAAAGTAGTTCGCTCCAGTAAGTATGGAATGAGGACCAGGGTAAAAGACTAGGGTCTTTCTCTATCCTTAAGCCTAGAACCTAAAGGAGCCTGAGCAACTCTAAAAAATTACTCAGGTGTTGCAGAAATCTCGGAAACAAATATACAGAGACACAGAATTTGGATAAAATAATAAAATTTCTTCTCGCGAGCTGACAGGAATGCCAGAAACCAGTCTGGTCAGTATCCGTGCCCCCTTCGTTCAGCATTTCCCTTTTTATATACTTTTTAGCCATTATCTCATTCCTAGTGGTCTTTGATATGTAAATACAATTCCAGTTCCTATTTACAAGTCACAGACACAAGATAGGCCATATACATTGTAAATTCACCCTGGCATGGTAACTTTGTTAGGTTAATGAAGTTACTGGTTAGAGTCAGATAATCCTCACCTTAAACAAGAAGTTACAGGAAAAGCAAATCTTAAAAGAACACATTACTTATTTTGCTTCTACAACTACCTTAATATTCAATCTATTAAGTTATCTAAAACTTTTCTTTATCACAGGTTTATAGAATGGGTTACAAAGTACAAATTCCTTAGAGATCCTCTCAGGTTAAGGCTGAGATAGGATTGGAAAATTATATATTACATCAAGGCAGTAATTCCAGAGAGAAGAGAAAAAAAGAGGTAGCAATTGCTCCTTGAAGAAAATAAGGAATTGGAGCGCCATCCAAATGATCTGGATGGATCTGAGGAAAGGTAATGGAATTAGTAGTCCTCTTTCTACTAATTCAACTGTGGCTTGATCTTCGTGATTTCTCCCTGTATGCTCGGGGTAGGAAGGCGTTTCAATGTGCTGTTTTGGATCCTTGCTTACCCTGTTTCCTTTATATCCCTAACTTTGAGTACTACTTTGCACAGAGTACTCAACATATATGTATTTGCATAAATAAATTACTGATTGGTGGATTGACTGGTTGGTTGGTGGGAACTCAAGTGCTTTAGCTTTTGTTTCCCACTGGACAAAAAAATTACCTAGCAGTTAAAGCTTGTGTTTTGAAATCAGACACGGATTTAGGTCTCACCTCTGTCTTTTATTCTGCCACTATGCTTCCCCAGGAACTTACTTGAGCCTGTTTCCTGTCTATAAGTTGTAGCCAGTGATTGCTATTTGGCTTTGTGAGGTTTCATTGAAATAAGAGATGAAAAGTGCTTAGCATAATGCTTAGCAGGCTCAAATTAGTTACCTTTTAATATCAATGCAAACCCTCTGCTCCTGCAAAAGTGGTCTCCCTTTGATCTTCAGACTTCATTCCCACTACCTGCCTCTGCTTGTGTTGTTGGCCTAAACCCCTAGCCTTTCATTCACAGCTGTAAGTACATGCATACATACAAATAACATCGGGGCCAAAGGCAATTTAAGTGCCATTTTTCTCATGAAGCCAACTCTTATGGCCCCAGCCAGAAGATATTTCTTCACTATAGAATCCTTGAATAATGATTAAGTCATTTTAATATTTTCACATAACACAGTATCTGGCATAATATAGAAATCTAACACATTTTGGAGGGATGGGTGGATGAAGAGATGAAAATTCAACTTGGTTACATGCACTGGCAACTCCACAGGGACTTATTATCTTTATACCCCTGACTAGTCAGCATAGTGCCTCACCCATGGTAGGCACTCACTAAATGTTGGGTGGATGGGGATTAAGGAAAAGAAAAATCAGAGAAAGAAAATTAAGACCAATACCCACCTGGAATCTTTCTCCTTTCAGGGCATCCTATTGAAAGGAGTTATTGAGTAGAGAAGCAGGGAGTTGACAGCCGCTCTCTGGACTCTCTCCCAGGGCCTTTTTAGAACAGGAAAGTTAATTAGGGAACCAGATTAACAGTTTCTTTTTTGATACAGTCAAAGTAAAACCAGCAGGATGCAATTTAGCTCTTCCCCACTTTCCAAATAGCAGCAAATTTTCATACAAAACAAAGAGACACTTGAATTGCAAATTACTTAGAGAATCAGCTAGCAACCCCAACGGAAGAACATTTCTGCAACTTTCAAAGCCAGGCTGTTGCCTTTTCAGATTTAACCATGTCGTGGGACCTTCCCAAAAGCGAGGGCATCTTGATACTTCAACTCTAGGCCAAGTGGAAAGAAGAAGCAATTGCTTGAGGTTTTGTGGAGCAGTCTAGCATCATCTTTTGCTCAGAAAATGATCCTCCTCTCCAGATCATCGCTGACACTCAGACCACCATGCTTTACTCATGGAATGAGGGTCTCCAGGGGTCATCTCATTCTTAGTAAGACCAGATGCTCATGAGGTGAGAAGGAACACTATGAATAACGCAAGTGGTGAGGATGTGTGAGGCAAAGATAGTGTGTGAAGATTGGAGTGAACCATATATCCCACTGTTGCCATACAGGAACTCTGGACCGTTATTGAGTGTTGCTGGAAAGTTCTGAAAAGTCTGTAAACTGGATTGTTAATTGAAATATTCTTAGCTGTTGCATCTAATTGGAAGGAAAAGAAGGAAGGAAGGGGAAGGGAAAGGGAAGCAGACACACATAGACCGAACACCTATTTGTTGGACATGTCCTGTGGATTACCAGTTTATAACTTCTGACCTGGTATAATTTCCTTATTTGAAACATAGGGAAACTAAGGTCAAGAGAAGAAAGTAACTTGTAAAAGATCAGAGTAGTATCCTCCATCGCCTAGCTGATTACACCACAAGCCTCTCTCCAGTCCCTGTCTCTGGGAAGACATAAGGCAGTTTCATTTTAACAAGAGCATTTTTAAACTTTTTCTGATTTAAATGAATTTCTATTTTCTGCAGAGAATTCAGAAGACAGAGCAAGGATGATAAAATAAAATAAAATTGCACAATGGTACCATTTTCTTTATGGAGGGACTGGAGGCTGGGGTGGGAACCTAGCTAAACACAGGCTGCTTCCAGACACAGCCACTGGAGGGCAAGGTGGCACCTCAGTTGGGTTAACCCCAGCAGGCAGTAGGAGAGTTAGAAATGCTTACAGCAGCCAGGCAGGTGGCAGAAGTGTAAAAGAAGCCAGCTGGGAGACATGGTGAATGAAGGAAATGTGCCCTGCTTAAACGATGTAGACACTGCTCAGACTCACCCTACACTGCCATGTGGGAATGTAGACAGTGTTGACAGCCCTCCTCAGTTTTTCTTATAAGGTCTGAAGTCTAACTTTTCATGTTAAAATTTTCAGTGTTTAAATATAGCTCAATTATTTTTTAAAGTGAGTCAGATAAAATACATGAAAATGCAAGGATCATGACCATGGCTTAGTGACCTTTTGCCCTTAGCCTGGGCACTGGGCAGATAAGTCAGCTGGCTAGAGAGCTTGTTTGTGATCAGTCCAGTCCCTATCCAGCACAGAGAGGCCTGGCCTGGAGATGACCAATCAGGAATGAGATTAAGGAGACCAAAGCTGTCTGTAGGCTTAGGGAGCAGTCACCTGGGGAGAGAGGCCTGCACCAAGAGCCAGCTTCAGCTGAACACATCCTTCGAGGGACCCGCTCAGTTCAAAAGTACCTAGTGTAGCCTTTTACTATGTATGTGTGTGTGTGCACACATGTTTGTACGATCTCCACCTTGTTAAAACAATATAAATTTTCTCCCTCAGCAACCCTGCAAAGAGTATTGTTTTCTGCCAAGGAAAAATGTTTAAAGTCAGTGAAGATAGCATTTGATCTGTTAATTCTTTATTGTACTGTAATGAATCAATGAATGAGTAGAAAGCAGAATTTGGTGGAAGGTACCCTTCAACTGGGGTTCTGGACCTCCACACTCTGACCTCTCTGAGCTTCCATTTCATACTCTGCAGGGTGAGAATTATGATGTTTGCCCTATCTCCTGTATAGTAAGAACTTTTGAAGGGAAGAGACAAAAATCTAACAAGTTTAAGAAAACATAAATAACTAGCTTAAGTAGAAAGGTATATGTCTATTCAAGCATTTCAATCATAGCTGCATCTAGGGGCCTAAGCAGTGTCAGGTCTGGGGACTTTTCATTCAGAACTACAGTCTTGACCCTCTTCGCCATCTTTCCACCACTGTGGACTGATAGCCACTTCCAGGAATTTACCCTCACCATGCCATGCAATAGACAGAGATCTTCTCTTTCCCTGCATTTTCAAAACAGACTTTTATTGGTCTAAATCAAGTCCCAGGCCCATACCCAAACCAACAATGTGGAAAAGAAGATGAAATATACTTACTGAGTGACCAGACAAGTTTGCATTCCTTGGAGCAATGAGGCATTTATTTGGGGGCTCAATGGAACATAATTTGTATTCTGGATGGTGGCAGATAAAATAGTAGACCTGATTCCCTGGTTGGAATGAACTATTTCTATTGAAACAACTTCCTGGGAAAATGTCCAGCCTGCCCTATGAAGTTTATTTAAAGCTGGAGTCATCAGCTAGAACGGAAGGGGAAAAATACTTAATTGCTGCCTGATGCCAAAATGAGATGGTATACTTTATATTTATTGTCTTTCTTTTGTCTTTCAGGCTTGCTTTGACAGGAGGATCAAGACTGACTGGTTCTTATTTCCAATGAGAACAAGATTGTGAATGGTGAGTAGCATTTGTTATTACTCTTCAGTTGTAGGACATGGATTCCTCACTAATGCCAAGATATTAAACTATAATTCCTTCCTACAATCTAAGCAAATATCAACTGACTTCACTGGTAAATAAGATGCCAAGAATCTGGCTTAATTTTTCTCTATTACAGTATGTATTTATTATGTATATTACATATAATATATATGTATATTCTCCAACACAATGCAGGAACTATCAAGGTATACACCACTAAAGATGTGTTCTTGGCTTCAAGAAACAAAATAGACACTCAAAGTGGCTTTAATAATAATTTTTAAAAAGTTCTTCACTCTCATAACAAGCAGTCCTAAGGTAGGGCAGGTCCATGGATGGTTACTGGGTAGGTCAATAATATCACCAAGACTTGAATTCCAACATCTTTGGAAGGATATTTCTTCCCCATCTCTCTCTTTATCCACCTTTCTGGAAAGTCTCTCAGCAAACATCTACTCACATACATTTGCCAAAATGTGTCGTGTACCCTCGTGACCAAATACTGTATATGGGATGCTACCCCTAACCCTAACCTACCATGATTACACCAATCATTAACCTCTGCATAGGGATGGGACTTACATCCCCTGAAGTACATGGTTGCATATGAGAAAGTGACTGTGTGGTCAAAACTGGACTTGTTAGAAAGGAAAAAAAGGATGAATATTTATTGTGAAGGTAATCAATAGCATATGCTATACAGTGATATTATGCAAATCTCAGCAGGGCTTCCTCTAAAATGCAGCTTATGTAGATACCCAAGTTCCAAAATCTCATATGCTCCATCACTGCTTAAAAAGTAGGCTCCCAGCCCTGGCTAACCTTCCCTCAAGTCATGGGTAAAATTAAAGAAATGCTGTATGTAGAACTACTTTTGACTCTGGATATAATACCCAAGGCATTATCATTATACCATATGCAGACTGTTTCTCCAATTTGCATAATTATAAACTCCCCCTTCAAAGAGTAAACATTGCAGCTAACTTAAAAAAACACACAAAGAAGCATTAAATATGCATTGCTAATTTGACTTTCTAATTTGTATGGGATCTTCACAAAGACATGCACGACTCCACAGACACTGAGCTCTTAGTAAAACCTTCCACCTGTCTAAGAAGAAGTCAACAGGAAAAGAAAAGTTAAATATTAGTTCTCTTAGCTAAAGAATTTGAGTTGATGCCAGAAAATTACCTGTAGGTGTTCATTCCATTAAAACGACTCTCAAATTTATTCTTCCATGCATTGACTAAACTCTGCAAGTAGATAAGGTAATTGCTTTGTGCAGCCAGAGAAAGATAACATTTCTTCACAATGTCTCCACTCAGCTTTAAAAGTCAACTGTGAACTGAAAGTGTAAATAAGGACTAAATGGTATAATAGATAATGTGACATAGGAAGAAAAGGGGCAAAGGGGAAGGGGAAATGGCAGGGGTAGGGGACAGGAAAGAAGGGAATGGAATTAATATGAGAAAATGAAAAAACTGAAACAAAGTCTTTGTAAATAGGGAGGGATGGAGGGATTGAAGGGAGGGCAGGGGAAGGGGAAAAATAAGAACCAAGAGAGACTATGTAAAGGTGCAAATTTCCAATGATGAATGTCATTATATTGTATACCTAAAATGTACCAATAAAATAAAAAATTTTTTAAAAGTCAACTGTGAGCTGGCCACCTATTTTGACAATTATAGGAAGGGATTTAATTGGTGCAGAAAGACTTTCCTGTCCCCCATATCTCTCTTCTTGATCTGACTCAAATATCCACGACAATCCCTGAATTGGGCATTGAAGTTCTCAGCTACATTTATAAATAGCTACCTGGAGCAGGTGCAATATTGAACTTTTATAGTCTTCAAGTTCATTAGTGCCAATGATGACTGGGCACAGAATATACATGTGTATATAGGTAGAACTCCTCCTGGAGTTATATTACAAATTAAATCTAAAATACATGTGTGCATCTATATGCAACAGAGATTTATGATATGTGTAAGCACACAAACTCATAGTGACATGCAGTTCTATCTGAGGGTGTTTCTTTTATACAAACTATTTCATAACCTGCTTTTTAAGCTCATCAGTACATTACAGACAGCCTTCCATTGCTGTGTATATGTACATTATTTTTTACTGTTAATTAGTATTGCTTCCCAGGAATAAATGGTAACTTATTCATTCAATCCCTTACTAAAGGTTATCTTTGTAGGTATATGATTATGATTTTAAATTATACCAAAACATTCTAGTCCACAGAGGTCTATCTCCACACATATGGTTAAGTCCTTCATCAGTTTCTGGAAGGGTGATCACCAGGCCAGTGAGGGTCACACACTGTATGCAGCAGTGCCATCAAGGGCTGAAATCACACCAAGCAGTGGACAGGCCTTTCTGGGTGCCCTGGGTCTGCCTGTGGAGCCCTTGGCTCCTACAGAAAGGAAAAGTTAAATGTCAGGAGGCAGAACATGGGGACAAAGTATACCAACAAAATAAGGGATCTGCTGTTAACACAGGCAATCAGTATATGTCTCTGGTTTACATAAAATATTGTCCATCTGTCCTTTATCTAGACTGTAAACTCACTGTGGAAAGGAGCAAATTCTGGTTTTGGTGGTTGTTTTTGCTCATTAGTATATAGTGAGTGTTTAACATATTTATATTACAATGTATGTGTGTGTATATATATATATTGGGGGTAAAAAATTGAGTAAACTATATAGACAATCTTTCATGAAGGAATGGGATTTGGAAGCTCCTAAAGAGTGGAGTTTCTAAGGATTCTATTCGTTTCCTAATCTTCTTACCCAATCCTCAGTATCTTTTTTATTTATCTTAAAATTTTACTTCCCTTTCAAAGCAACATGAGGCCCTGCAAGATTATGAAAATCAGCCAGGCTATACATAAAAATGTGGTTTTATTCTAAATTCTATCAATTTAAATCCATCCATGGACAGGTTCTATAGTGATGTGCCAGTTTGCTTTGCTATAAAACACACTGAATAAAGAGGGATTTTTTTCTTTCCATTAAAGATATTTACTTGTCTTTTCTATTTCCAAAGATATTTCCTATTCTATAAATCAGGGCTGTGTCTAAGTTTTTAAAATTCCTACAGTTCTTCCCAGAGCTTTAGAGTGACATTAAAGCTAAAGTGACATTAAAGGTAACTCACTCACCCCTACACCCATCACACATTCTGAGTAAAGACCCAATTCCAAAATGGGCTTCTGAAATGAACAGACATTTCTCAGACAAAGAAATAGAAACAGCCAATAAACATATGAAAAAATGTTCAACATCACTGGTCATTCAAGAGATGCAGGTGAAAACAATGCTCAGATTCCACCTCACCCCAGAAAGAATGGCTGCTATCAAGAAATCAACCATAATAAATACTGTCAAAGGAACCCTGCTCCACTGCTGGTGGGAGTGTAGACTGGTGCAACCACTGTGGAAATCAGTATTGAGATACCTCACAAAACTAGGATTAGAGGTCCCATTTGACCCAGCTATTCCTCTATTAGGTATCTTCTCAAAAGAATTAAAAGAATCATACCACAGCGATACATGTGCACCCATGTTTATAGCAGCACAGTTTGTAATAGCTAAAACTTGGAAATAGCCTAATTGCCCATCAACTGGAGACTGGATAAAGAACATGTGGTGTTTTAATAAAATGGAGTACTACTCAGCTATAAAGAATGAGAAACTAGAGACATTTATAGCTAAATGGATGCACACTGAGGCGATACTCTTAAGTGAAATAAATACGACACACGTGTAAATACCAGATAATTTCTCTAGTGTGAGAAACTGAAAGTGTAAATAAGGAATAAAAAGTATAATAGATAATGTGAAATAGGAAGGAAAGGCCCAAAGGGAAAGTGGGAGGGGTAGGGGAAAGAAAAGAAGGAAAAGGAATAAATATGAGAAAGGGAGAAAATGGAAAAAAGTCTTTGTAAATAGGGAGGGATGGAGGGGTTGAAGGGAGGGCAGGGGAATGGGTAAAAAAATAAGAACCAAGAGTGATTATGTAAAGGTACAAATTCCAATTGATGAATGTCATCATATTTTATACCTAAAATTTACCCATAAACAATTTTTTAAATGACAAAAGAGTAAAAAGATAAAATAAAATTACTTTCATCCTTTAGCTGAAAAACAGAGGGATTCTGAGCCTAGAAATGTAAATTTAAACCACAATGAAATATCACCCCACATACTAGAATGGCTGTTAGCAAAAATATAAAGATAATTGTTGGCAAGGATGTAAAAAGCCTTGAACGTTGTTGGTAGGAAAGTAATTAGTGGAGCCATTATGGAAAACACTAGCCAAGTTCCTCAAAAAATTAAAAAGAGGACTCCTGCCTAGTCCAGTAATCCCCTTCCTAGGTGTATATCCAAAGGAAATGCGTCCAAGTGTCAGAGACATCTGCACCCCCACATTCACTCCAGTGTTATTCACAATAACCAAGATATGGAATCAACCTAAATGTCCATCAACAGTTAAGTGGACAAAGAAAACAGGCTGTGTGTGTGATGACTTAGACTGAAGGATAGAATGCAGGTGCTGCTTTCAAGAAAGGCCATTGTAAAGAGCCATTATTTGTTTTAAATTATTTAAACATGTATTTTAAATAGGTGATTTATGTGTATGGCAAAAACATGTGTAATGCATTATGAATATTTAGGAAAAATTTCCACACAGCCTATCTTAAAAGCTCTTCACTCTCTCCCCCTAAAGCAACCAGTGAAAGTTTGCATCCACACACATAAACATGAGGATGTCCTTGTTTTGTAACTTACACAGTTTCCCCATTCTCTGTACCTTGTTTTTATTCACTTATTATTTCTCAGCAATGATGTCACATTAATACAACCCTTAACTTACTCTCTTTAATAGCCACATAACACTTGGTGTCATGAGTGCACCAAACTTACATAATCAGTCCCCTATTGATAAATATTTCGATTGATTACAAT